AGACGGCCCCTCTGGGCTCTCCTACCGCCTCACCAGCCACTTGCCATTCCACCAAGGCTCACCACCACACTCCCCCTGAACCCTGTGAAGACTTACCAGGTGTTAGGGCATGTCACCTCTCTCTGCTCGTTCCTTCCTGGGTGTTCCTGTCTTCCCCCAGACCTTCTGTTTTTCACCCATATACAGCCATGGCCCCAAAGATGGAGATCAACAGAGACCACAGCCTGTGGCTGGCATATCCTCTCCAAAACACATGCTGAAATAGAACTGCCATCATGATGGGACTTTGAAGTAGCACTTTTTTTTTTTTTTTTCATTTTATTTGAAAGGCAGAGAGAGATCTTCCATCCACTGTTTCACTTACCCAGATGCCCTTAACACTGAAACCAGGAGCCTGGAATTCAGTCTGAGTCTCCCTCATGACTATCAGGAATCCAAGAACTCGGCCATCGCTTGCTGCCTCCCAGGGTGCACATACACAGGAGGCTGAGATCAGAAACAGCTGGAAGGGGATGTAGTCTCCCCAAGCTGAGGGGGTGGTTTAAGTGCTCCACAAGACAGCTGCCCCAAGGGGTGGGTCATGAGAGGTCTCCTTTCCTGAATGAGTTAATTTTGTCATTCTGAGAGTGGCTGTTATCCCAAAGTAGATTTCTGATTGATTAAAAAGAAAAAAAAGGATGTTTGCTTGGCTTTCTTGCGCTTGCTCTTGGCTATCTAGGCACTAGGTTTTCCTATAGCACAGACGCTTGCCAGAAGCTGGTAGCTGCCTTGCCTGTGGACTTGCCAAAGAAACTTTTGCGGCTTATCATGCACTTTTGTTAGAACAGTAGAAAGCAGACTAGCACCCCCGCTGTTCATGGCACAGGCGTGCCTGGGTATCGGTGTGTCCTCTAGGCTGCTTTGCAAACAACTTGCCTCCAGCTCAAAAGGACCACTCACCACTCGGTCATTCAACCTAGAAACCCAGGTGTTAGCCTTCACTCCCCACCTTTTCACTTCCACGGTAAATCCATTAGCTTGACCTTCTACTTGCTAAATTTCAACTTGGTCTACATACTTCCATGGCCATGACCTGCTGCCACTACTGCTCAACTTCAGTAGTCTTCCTAAGCCTGGTTTCCTGCACCTGCTGCCTTACCACACCTGTTTCCATGCTTAAGACACAATGGGGTGGGGTTTGGCCTAGGCCTAGGTGCAAACGCTGACTAGGAGGCCCACATCCCCTGCCTGGGTTCATTCCTGGCTCTACTGATTCCAAATTCCTGCTAATTCAGATCCTGGGAGGCAGCAGTGACGGCCCTGAACCTAAACTGAATGTCCAGCTCTTGTCTCTGGCCCTGGCCTGGTGTCAGCCATTGTGCATATTTGGGGAGTGAACCAGCAGATGGCAGCTGTGTCCGTCTACCCATCTATCAAGTACATACATCCCCGTATTGTGTCTAACCTTGGCCCAATAAGACCTGCATCCTTCTTTTACCCTCCTCTAACCACAATGATCCAATTCACCTGCTCCACAAGACCTGCCACAGGAACTCTGCATGTGCTGGCTGCTCCCCTAACTACACAGAGCAGGGTGGCTCATGCTCCAGGCCTTGGCTCAAATCTCACCTCCTAGGCTTTTTTCGACAACCTTCTCTTCACTCATGGATTTAATTACTTGTGTTTTGTCTATATCCCCAAGTAGAAGACACTACTCGCTTGGTCTTCCTGTCACGGGCACCCAAACCTGTCCTGCGTATATTTGACACCCAAGAAACATTTATTGAATGAGTGGTCACATTTGGCCCAGGGCTGCCACATCAGCCCTCTGAGTGTCAAACACAGCTGAGTCTCCTGGGTCTGCCCATAGGCTGCTCTCTCTCCCCAGCATGTTCTTTAATTCAGGGCTCCACTTCCTCTGGCGGGCCCTCCCTCTGCCGAATGTCACTACAGAGGTCTGCATGGCTTCACACTCCCACTCGTGTCTTTGCATGGCAAGCTTTGCTATACTGAAGGCTCCACCAGGACAACACCTGTGTGTCTCTTTGCCTTATCCAGAGCCAGGCCCAGCTCAGGCATTAGTGTTTATTAACTGGTGCTCACTGTAAACCCTGAGCATACACCCCCAAGAGCTCACTGCCACCGGGCAGCCCAGGCCAGACACAGAACGGACAGTACAGTGTATAACTGTGCAGAAGTCTGGTATGAAGATTCACAGAGCGGGGGGAGAGGGCAGGGCAGGAGAAAGGATGCAGGTGAACAGGGAGGCACAGGAAAGCAGCTCAGGTGTGGGCAGATTCCGGAAGGGCAGGCTGTGAGGGGCCTGGGTGGGTGGGGGGTGCCTACATTTAGGGAAAGAAAGTAATCAGTATCGCTGAAACGCAGGATGGCAGCCAGGAAGGTCAGGGCTGTGCTGAGGAAGCTCGGAAGACCTGGCTCACGTCCATGCTTCAGGTACCAGTTCAGCCACCTTCGGGATCTCCACCAGCCAATCCCATCGAAATTCTAGTAGATCCCAAATGTAATGTTACCTTTCTGTGTCCTCCTGAAGCCCCTCTCTCCTTCATTCAACGCTGCTAACTGATCCCCTAACGATCCAGCACACCTGTTACGTCACTGACTCCACTCACCAGTACCATCTACTAAAATGCACATGTGCTGCAAGGGTCCCCTAAACCTTCACCATCTGCCATGTTAGGGCCCCCAAATCTTTCCTCACTCACTTGGTTCCCTGAATGACCTGCTCTGCACGCCCCCTCCCACCCCCCACCCCCCCCCCGCCCCAGTTCCCACGTTCCAGCGGCTCCTAAGCCTGGGCTCAGAAGCTTTCTCTTGGGAAAACCTATCACCTTCGCAGTCTACCCTGACCCGGTGCATCTCCCGCTAAGAAACCTTTCCTGACCAGTTCTCACAGGTCATTTGATATGTCTTCCTGGGCATCTTTGTACTCACGGCATAGGTCTTAAAAAAAAAACAAAACAAACATGGAAACTGTTACCTTAAAACTATGCATGGGTTTCAAGCACTTGCTCCCAAACACCTCTTGATTCTACTGCTCATGAGTCTTTGAAATCTTCTGGTACCTCCTTGGTTTCTGTGGCACTTTCCTCTAATGACTTCCCTGCAGGTCTCTGTACCCTTCGAAACACATCTTCCTGAAGAGGCACAACCTGCTCATTTCACCTTGAGATTCCAGCACCCACAGAGCCTTAGAGTACGGGCTAAGATGTGCCCGGCCCTATCAGAAGGAATAGCTCCACACGGACCTGCCCTCCATCCCTACGACCACCTAACGGGATTGTCTCATCCAAAATATGGAATTTCAGAGTCTCCTCTGCTCTTATCCCATCACACCTCCATCAACTATGGAGGAACCTAGACGCAGGTCCGGGAGTGCACGTGGCTCGAGAAAGGTGTTTCCTTCCCAAAACCAAGGCTGCCGGGGGAAAGGGGAACCCCCAAACAGTAGCGCTGGGTTGTGGGGGAGGGTCTGATCAGGGCCAGGCAGGCTGTCTATACAGAGGTGGGGGGTCCAGCCTGAGTTCCGGAAGCAGGAAAAGCGAGCAGGTGTGGGATCTAAATCGGGATGCGGGCGGGGAGGGCGCCCCGCTCAGAAGGGCGCAGCTCTCGGCTTCCGCCCACAGCGGCGGACCCTCATCACGGGCGGTTCTCGGTGCGCAGAACTGGAGTGGGCTGAGACCCGCCCCGAAACCGGAGACACGGAGGCGCGGACGAGCCCCTTGGGTTCCATGCGTTTTCCGCCCTGCCAGGCTGACGGAGCAACCCCACTTCAAGCCCATTCTCTTCACAGAAGTGACTGCACGCCTCGTCGTAAAGGTGGGGAGCAAAGGAGTTGCGGGGGGCGGCTGAGGGCCCCGAGGGAAGGGCGGGGGCGCATGGGCCGGAAGGCGTCCCAGGCTCGGCTGGCAGCCGGCGCTCTCTTTCGACGCCACCCGCTGCCTCCGCCCCCGAGCCGGCCGGGACGGCACAGCGTCCCCGCCCCCAGCGCACCGCGCACCTCACCTTGAACGCTGCTCCACCCACTCGCACCCTATTGGGTCTCCCGGGCAGAGGCCACGCGGCGATTGGCTCGGGTGGCCCGAAGAGGCCCCGCCCATCTCCCCGCCCCCGGCTCCGTCCGCCGGTACTTTGGACGGCGGCGTGGCGCCCCTCCTCCCCTCCCGGTCCCCGCCCCCTGGAGCAAATGCTGTCGAGCTGCGGCCGCGGGGCAGATGCACGCGCTCGGGCCCTTCTAGCAGGCGCGAGCAGTCGCTGGACGCGCGAAAGCGAAAGGAGGAAGAGGAAGGGAGGGCGAGGGCGGGGTGTTGCGGAGGGGCGGGAGGAGGAAGAGGAGGAGGTCGGGGCGCGCTCGCGCTGGGCCTCGCGCCCGCGCGGAGGGAGGAGAGGGGCGCGCGCGCGCACGCTCGCGTCCTCGCTCGCTCCATCCATCCATCCTCCGGTCGCGGCACGCGCGCGCGCTCCGGGCTCGCGCCGCACCCCCCGCCCGGGAGAGGCGGGCTGGAGTGGGGGGCGGGGGGAGGGGCGCGCGGACGGCGCGCGGACTGCGCGCGGGCGGGGTGAGGTGAGGAGGAGGAGGAGGAGGCGGCGACGGGACGAGAAGGGAGGGGAAGGGGCCATGGCCGCCCGGTGAGGCGGCGAGGCGGGGGGGCGGCCCGACCCCCCGGCCCCGGGCCCTGGGCCCCGGGGAGAGGCGAGGACGGACCGACGGACATGGGGCTCCGGAGCAGCAGCCGCCGCCGCCGCCGCCGCCGGAGGACGCGGCCCTGAGAGGCCGCCGGGCCCCGGCGCGGCCCCCCGGGCGGGGTGAGTACGGGACGGAGACGGGAACGGGGGAGGGGCCTGCGGGGGGCGGGGGGCGGGGCCCGAGGCGGGGCTTGGGCCCCCTCCCCCCCCAGGTCTGGGTCAGCGCCCCTTCCCCTCCCCCCTGGGCCGACGCGGAAACGCCCGGCTTCCCCCGGCTTCCCGGCCCGGCCGGGGCCCCCTGCTCTCCCCCTGTCTGGGTCCCCCCTTGGGCGGGGCAGGGCCGGCCGGGGAGGGGGCGCGGGGCCTTTGTTAGGGAGCCAGGCCCCAGCCCCCGGGACAATAGAGACACCCTCCCGGACTCCTCTGCCCGGTTGGGCCGGGCCGCCGGCAGGCCGGGCAGGAACGGGGCCGGGACGCGTCCCACTCTGCCCACTCTCGGGGGGTCGGTCTGGCCCGGCCCGGCCCGGCGCCGGCCTCGGGCGGCTCGGCTCTCCTCCCCCCAGTCGGTATGATGCCGCAGCAGTGCCGCAGGGACGGGGGAAGAGCCGAGGCCCGGCCTCCTACCCTGCCCAGTGCCCCTGGCTCATTTGTCAGTCCCCACCCCACGGGAGGCTGGCAGCTCCTGAAACTCGTACCCACCGTTCCCAGGGGCCCCGGACTGTGGGCGCTGTTTCGGAATCCTTTGGTGGGGCGTGCTGGACTTTGGGGCTCTTGGAGAGACTTCCGGGCAGGTCCTGAGGGAGGGCGGGTGGTTCTCGGAAGGAAGAACAGGTAAGGGGAGTGCCCTGCTGCTGGCATGGCGTGCCAGCCCACCACGCGCCGGCCCCCGTGCTCGCGCGGCGGTGGCGGCGGGGCCGCAGCTGGCGATGCCCTTTTGCGCTGGGTTTCTGCGGGCTGTGCCCGTGTTGCGGAGCGGCCGGCTCGTTTCCAGGGAGGACCGAGTGGGGTGAAGGTTGTAGGGTCCTAGGGCCAACGCCACTTCTGGTAGCAGTACCCCCCCAAGTGGACATACTGGCTGAGAACAGAGGTGACCAGAGAGAGCCTTAGGGAAAGGGGGTTGTATTTAGGAGTCTGTGCAGTTCTCTGCCACACCCTGTGGGTTTGCTTTGGGGCCTTGGAGTTCCTTCTCCGTCTGCTGCATTGCACCATGGGTACCAGAGAGGGGTTTGAGTTTGGGGGGCCTGGGGTGAGTGGTGGCCTTGGACTGTGCCTGGCAGGGGAGTGCGGGGCCTGAGCTGAGGCCTGGAAGGACTAGGCCAGCACCCTTGGGCCTCAGGCCTGAGAGAGCCTGGTGCCCAGCTTCAGCTCTGGGCCCCGAGGTGCCAGGATTCACAGCGACACCCCACCCCCGTTTGTGCAGCCGTGTTGCCGCCCGCTGTGCTATGAGCAGTCAGAGCGCCGTCTCCACCAGAGTTTACAAATGAAAATGGAGGAAATGTCTTTGTCTGGCCTGGATAACAGCAAACTAGAGGTGAGGGCTCCCCCACGTGTGCCTCTAGCTCTTTTTCTTGGTGTCTCCACGGCACACTGTCTTGGCGTGCCCACCCAAGAGGGACGTGGGTAGTCAGGCTCATTCCTTCAAAGGACTGGCCAGCTGGAGGAGGCCTGAGGATCCAGGAAGAAGAAAGAAGGCGAAGTCAAGATGGGAAGAATGGCAGGGCGTGTGCTGCTGGGCTGGGGCCGCTCGGTGGGCCATGCGATGGCCGAGAGTTGCTGGCAACTGCTGACCACCTGTGTTCTCCCCCGGGGCGTAGGCCATCGCTCAGGAGATCTACGCGGACCTGGTAGAGGATTCTTGCTTGGGATTCTGCTTTGAGGTGCACCGGGCTGTCAAGTGTGGCTACTTCTTTTTGGATGACACGGACCCTGAGAGCATGAAGGATTTTGGTGAGCTCCAGGGAGGGAGGAGAGCCGCAAGGTTCCCACTTGCTTCTGGGAACCGGCCTGGATGAAGACCACCCCTGTCCCACGGCAATTCTGCGAGGCTAGTCAGAGGAACAAGAGGGGAGGGTACCCTGGCTGCCCCTGACCGCCATGCCTCTCCTGTCCCCAGAGATCGTGGACCAGCCGGGCTTGGACATCTTTGGACAGGTTTTCAACCAGTGGAAGAGTAAGGAGTGTGTGTGCCCCAACTGCAGCCGCAGCATAGCTGCCTCCCGCTTTGCCCCCCACCTGGAGAAGTGCCTGGGAATGGGTCGGAACAGCAGCCGGATCGCCAACCGCCGGTGAGGGGCTTCCCCATGCCATGGCTCCAGGCCTGCCCACTGGGGGGTGCTCCCTTAAAGGGTGCTTCCCTGGAGTTGTGGTGATATGGGCAGGGCGGGGCAGCAACTTTGACCCTCTCTGTCCCCTTCCCTTGGCAGGATTGCCAACAGCAACAACATGAACAAGTCTGAAAGTGACCAGGAGGATAATGATGACATCAATGACAATGACTGGTCCTATGGCTCAGAGAAGAAAGGTGACTGGTTGGGATCTGGGGAGACCTGGGAGGCATGGTGAGGAGATGGGTAGGCTGTGGTCACAAGCTGTCTAAAGTGCCAGGAGGAGTGTCACTGTAGCCTTTTGGTTGGCTGCCCTTAGAGTGAGAACTCAGCAGTAACCCTGCTCTATGTTCTTCTGTCCCTGACAGCCAAGAAGAGGAAATCAGACAAGGTGAGAGCGGGGCAAGCCTGGGGGAAGTTGGGGCGAAGGCCAGGTACCCTCCCCCTTGGGCAGGGGCTCTGATGCCATCTGAGGTCATGGGGGCCTCTGTGGGTTTGGAGAGGGAGGTATCTCGTGGGCATGGGGGCAGAAGAGGCCTTGGGCTGATGGGAGGGAACAAGGGCAGCCGAGCCTCTTACTGGGGAGGGAAAGCAGGCATTTGAGGATGTTTCTTTGTCAAATCTTTTTTCCTTCCCTGGGTTCTCGGCTCCCCCTTGTCGTTACCCTTTTCCCCAAAGCTATGGTATCTCCCATTCCAGAACCCCAATTCCCCTCGAAGATCCAAGTCTTTAAAACACAAAAATGGTAAGTGGGGCTGGGGCACCAGAAAGGCTGCTTACAGTGGATCTGGGACGCATTTCTGGGGTGGGGGCATGGTGGGGTGGTGGGTGGGGGGAGAGGCTGTGGGGAAGAGTGTTGAGGGCGGGCCTGTGATCCTTCTATCACCCCCACTTCCTCTCTGGTTATTTTCAGGGTTCTCTGTCTGTACCTCTGCATCAAACACCCTTCCCCTTCTTTTTTCTTCTTCAGGGGAACTTAGCAATTCGGATCCTTTTAAGGTGAGCAGAGGCTGTCTCCCTTTTGTTCCCTCTCGGGGGGTCCTTGCTGGAGTAGTGGGGGCTGAAACGCTGATAGCCAGCAGCACTAGAGTTGCTCGTGGGGTCAGACACATCCTGGTTCCTCCTGGCCCTACCCCGACAGTTCTGCAGCTGGGCCCAGAGGCCCTGGGAAAGCCCGCCAGGCAGTCTCCATGCCCCTCGCTTAGAGAGGGAGGAGGGCCAGGACTGTCCATGCCACACTGATGCCGCCTGCTGCTGCTCTCACCCATCTCTGGTTCTCCCGCAGTATAACAACTCCACTGGGATCAGCTATGAGACCCTGGGGCCCGAGGAGCTGCGGAGCCTGCTCACCACGGTGAGCACCCGGGGAAGGGGCAGCCCTTGGGAGTGGCCGGAGCCGCAGGCAGCGGTCAAGGCCAAGCAGGAAGTGGTGACACAGCAGTCAAGGGCCATTGGCATTTGCTTTGGAAGGTAGTTTCCCTGTCCGTTGTGGCCCAAGACCACCTACACAGCCAGGGGCCCACTGTGCTGGTGAGGGCTAGCATCCAGTCAGATCCCCCAGCCCTCCTCAGCTTCTGTTCTTCTTGCAGCAATGTGGGGTGATCTCGGAACACACCAAGAAGATGTGCACAAGGTGAGCATGGATCTTCCATGGGCAGAGAGGCTCCTGTCTCCCCTTCTGCTTGGGGCCCTCCTCTCCTGCCTTGGCCACCTCAGGTCCTCAGTCCTTGCCTGCCTCATCAGGGCTGATGGTTCTTTTCTTACCAGGTCCCTACGCTGCCCCCAGCATACGGATGAGCAGAGGCGAACCGTGCGAATTTACTTCCTCGGGCCCTCAGCGTGAGTGACAACCACCACTGCTGCCACCTCCCCCACCAAGAAGGGTGCTGGGCAGTGGGATAGGGGCAGAAGCTGCCTCTCTAAAGCCCTTCCGGTTCTTTCCCAGTGTCCTGTCAGAGGTCGAGAGCTCCCTGGATAATGACAGCTTTGACATGACTGACAGCCAGGCCCTGATCAGCCGGCTCCAGTGGGACGGCTCCTCTGATCTATCACCCTCTGATTCAGGCTCCTCCAAGACGAGTGAAAATCAGGGATGGGGTCTAGGTAGGTGCTGCAGCTGGGCCCCACGGCTGGGATGCCCCCATCCTGCCACAGCCTGATCTCCACCCCTTTTTCTGGCCTTCGTGCCTTCCTCTGCAGGTACCAATAGCTCGGAGTCTCGGAAAACCAAGAAAAAGAAATCCCATCTGAGCCTGGTAGGGACTGCCTCTGGCCTGGGCTCCAACAAAAAGAAGAAGCCAAAGCCCCCAGCGCCCCCGACGCCTAGCATCTATGATGACATCAACTGACTTGGGTGCAAAGGATAGCCTTTGGCTGAGAAGAGCCCTGTGTCCCAACCCCCACCCAGGTGGCACAGCCTGGCAAACGGACGGCTGCTGGGGGTTTGGGCTTGGGAAGGTTGGTGGGCCCAGCAGGCAGAGGATCCAATTATGCACCCCTGGGGGGTGTCAGGGTCTTCTGTGATGGAGCACGACTCCTCGGTGTGCAGGACTCAGACCTGGACATATTATGCCTTGGACATAAGTTTGGTGGGGAGGCGGTATTCCTATTTATTCTGTGAGTTACTGGACGTCCAGCTAGGCCAGGGGCCTGACCTGGGCACTGTGCCAGGGCACTGCCTGCCTCCCACCCCAGGAACTGGACTAAGCCCTGCCGAGGGGCATTGTGGCTCCCTGGAGGCTGTGGGTTGGAAGCTGAGCCTGGAGGGGCCTCCCCTGCCCCAGGCTGCCCTCAGCAATGTGAATGGGTCTGGTGCTTGGAGCTGAGGGGCAGGGCTGGGCATGTCCTGTCTGTGTGCAGAATCCTATCAAATGCCCCCAATCCCAGGGGCAAGCAGGCAGCCAGTGCGCTGTCTGCTGAGGTGGGCGTCCAGAACTGCCGCCACCTTCCCTGCCTCTCACAGGGGCAGCCCTTTCCCCTCAGTCCCCATGGGCCTCCTTGGCAGCAGGAGCTGTCCTTTTGTTGTTGGGTGCCAGGAAAGGGCCTCTGGCCTCTACAGCTTCAAGGGGCAGGAGAGGGGAGGGTAAGAAGAGGGAGTGGTGTGGATCAGAGCTACTCCCCTCTGCCTCTCCTCCCTGCCCCGGGGCTGGTGAGCAGTGGGGCCCAAGGTGAGAGGGAACGGTGCTGCTTTATTTGACATGTTTTCTTACCTCATTCCCTGCCCCAGGAAGGGGCCCAGCCTCACCCTCCTGGGGTGGCCCCACAGTCCTCCTGCCCACCCTGCCCTGCTGGGGCAGCCCAGGTCCCCAACTGCTGCTGCCACCCCTTCACCTTGACCAGCTTCAGTTCCTCTCAGTGCTCCTCCCTCCAGAGCCTGCCCTGTGTCCCCTCCCTTCGCCGCTTTTAAGTTATTTATTCTGTACTTGTGGTTCGGGGCTCTGAGGAAAACCTGACTCTTGTGCCTCTCCCCCTTTGCTAGGAGTGGGGTGGGAAGAGAGGGTGGTCTTCGTGCCCTGGATTGTCAGAGGACAAAGGGGTGTCATGCCCCTCTGGGGACTGTTGCACCAGTATGCCCACCTGCCTGGTCTACATCTGGAAGAGATGTACCGCCCCACCTCCAGTGGGCACCAGCACTCCCAGGAGCCGAGCTGGAGGACTGCGGTCTGGTCTGAGCAGAGCTGACTGACCCAGGGATGGAGCTGACACTGAGCCCAGTTCTTTGGCGCTTCCTGGACACATCCCTGCCCTCCTCCCAGGAGCCATCCCATGGGTTGGGTAGCTAGTACCCAGGACTGGTTGGACTGACTGGGGTTAGGGACCCTTGAGGGCTAAGGGAGCAACAGAGGTGGGGCTGTGGGGCCCTGTCTGAAACCCCAGGCCCCTGTTGGGGTTGTTTTCATTGTGGCTGATGCCTGGTTACAGATTGGTTTTTAACCCAAGAATGATTATTTTTTAAAAAGCCAAACATACTTTGGCAGCAGATAGAATAAATCCTGGGGCCCAGGCGCCTCTGTTCTTGGCTCTACACAGCCTTCTCCCTCCGTGGGGGAAGCCAGAGGAAGAGGAGCATCTCAGCACGGCCATGGCCAACGGCCACTCTCCCTCCTGGGAGGCAGCTGCAGCTCAGACCCTAGCATCCCCCTTCCCTTCTGGCCTCACCCTTCCCCCCTCTTCTGGTTGGAAAAGGGAGAAGTGGGGAGCAGTCTGGGAACTGGTTTGTTCACATAAACGTCCCCCTTGGTCCTTGGCCCACCCTCAGGGCAGAGTCCCATGCCCAGGCTGGGTAAGAGATGGGCTTGGTCCAGCAGGAACCCTGAGGGAACAAGCAGATCCCTTTCTTCTGGGGAGTGTGCCCCCCCCCTACCATGTAGTTGAACAGGGGCCAGGAGCTCCCCACTTACCTCCCTCTAACAGCAGGCTGTGTGGGTTTCAATTCCCATCCTTCCCACCCTGGCTAGGTGTTGTCCACCCTGTATCCTATCATGTGTCTGAGTGTGTGGGGGGTTCTGTACTAATTCCCATGGCCGGTGGCTTTTTCCTTCCATGCATCACTCCCCCCCGCATGCCCAGGGGCCGCCCGCCTGGCATTACCGCATGCTGGGGTCATTGGGGGAGGGGGGTGGGGCTCACGCTGTCCTGTGGTCTTGAGATTTTTATTTTTGCATATGTAATCCATCCTGTACAGGTAGCTAACTTTGTAAACGCTGTGTATTCCCTTTGCCCCCATGGCTGCTGGTGTAAATAAACTGCAACTCCCGTTGGTAACCCGGCCTACCCCCCTTGTTACATTGCTGAGGAGAGCAAAGCCATTCTTTTAATGTCACTGGAGGCAGCTCCACAGCCATAGTAATAGAACTTTATTCAGAGATAGTGACCCTGCAAGAGCCCCAGACATGAGGGCTCAGGGCCCCAGGAGCCATACCCAGAGCTTGTCCTTGGAGCTGGGCAGGGTAGGATGCTGGCAGAGGGCCAGCACTGTCTCTTGCTCACAGCCTTAGGCCTAGGGGAGTAGCAGCTGTGGCCTGGCTTCTCCCCATGCCAGGGGCTTGGCTCCATGCCCCATTCCCCATCCCAACTGAGCTCTACCAAGACATGAAAAAAAGTGCTCTGAAAGGGGAAAACACTGGGAATTGTCTAGAACATGAGAGATGCCCTATTCCTGCCACAGGGCTGGGAGAAAAGAGGTGGCTGGGAGTACATGAGGAAGACTGGCACAATCTTTATCCCCGCTGGTGTGATTTTACTTGTGACAGACTGGTCCTTGGTTAAGGAGCTGCAGATGGTCCAGGCTCCCCACTGGAGCATGCCAAGCCACCCTGGCAGGCAGCCCTAGGTGCTGGGGGGGAGGAACATGCAGGGCATTTGGGAAGTATTGGGGGTGGTAACTATGCATGGAAGGGAACCCTCAGAACCCAATTTCCCACTGAATCTGCCCATCAGCTTTCAACTCCTTCAGGACTCCTTACGTGAAGAGGACATCCTCTAATCTACCTGAGTTGTATTCACACAGAAGGGATGTATATGTCCCTGGGGACATGAAGAGGTGGTCCTGGGCCTGTGTCCCATGCCCAACAGAGTAGGGGCAATCCCATGTCCTTTCCACTCCTCCCTCCCAGGCCCTTGGGCCCAGCTCTGGCCATGAAGGGGGGAGGCCATAAAGGAGGAAGACCATGCCTTTCATTTTCTCCCTATGTCCTTATCGTCCGTACATCCCAAATACTAGGAAGCTGAAGAAAACTGTGACCCCTACCAAGGAGACAGTGGCGGGTGCTGTGAAGAACTGGCGGTAATTGATACGGAAGTACCAGACCACACCCAGCAGCACCACGAACACGGGCACCATGAGGCTGCCCACGTTGACACCAAGGCTAGCTGGTTCCGCAGCTGAGGGGGCCAGGGAGGCAGAGGGGCCTGCAACAGCTGACCCTGGGGGCGAGCGGTGGCAGTGAATCACACAGTTGTCAGTAATGTTCAGGGAGCGCAGGGTGCGGCCTGGGTCCTGCAGCAGGCGGCCCTGATAGATGAATTTCATCTGGTTCTCTTGTCCAGGGAAGTACTTGCTAAAAAAACAGAGATGAGGAATGAGAAGGCAAACAGCCAAACAAAGGTGCAAGTCTAAGGAAGTAGCCCAGCACCCCGGAAAAGGCTAGACCTCCCAGCTGCCAGTCGAGCCACTATCTGTCCCCCACCAATGGCACTGGCAGCCTCCCACCTTCCAACCCACTCACCTCTTCAGGGCACCCACAGTGTCCTCAGGCCTCGCCACAGCCAGTTCCTCAGTGTCATTGAGGAACTTGAGCCGCACGTTGATGAGGCCGGGGCTGGGTGATGTGCAGGTGCCATCCTCGGACCGCAAGGGGCCTTCCATGTTTGCTTGTCTTTTGGGTAGGCCTTGGATGTCAAGGAGATGCTCCAGGCTGGGCTCAGCACCACCTCCAGCTCCAGACTCCCCTGTGGGGTCTCCCCCACCTTCACCAGCCTCTTCGGCTTTCTCCTCATTACCCTCTGATGGACGTGGGAGCTCACTGGGCTCGGAGGCTCCCTGTCCCGCCACCAGGTGGTCCACATGACCCAGTTGGAGGACAGAAGCATCACCGGCTGACACAATAGTGCCTAGAAGCTGGCTGCTACCGCTGTCCGCTACATAGGTGGAGAGCCAAGCCAGGACCAAGGCTAGAATCAGCACCACCACACCTGCGGCCACCATCACCTCATTTCCCACGCCCTCAATGAGGGGGACGTCAGAGAGCTCCATGCTCTGCCCACCGGCTGCCTCCGGGCTGCAAGAACAAAGAGGGATCATCAGTGGAGCCTGGGGGCTTGGGATCAGCCTTCCAGCTTGGTTGGCCTCTCACTGACCTAGCCCTGAAAGAAAATAACCTTAGGTGGGGGAGGGAGGCACAGAACTTCCTAATCCTGGACCCCAAACCTAAAGCCAAGGACTTCCCTTTGCCACTATTGTGAAACTCACAGGTTCCACACCCTTCCTCTTGCACATGCCAAACTCCCAAGGAGCAGGTCACCAGCAAAACCTCAGCTTTGTGCTGCTACTGCTGCTCTTAAAAAATGCTTATTGAGAAAGCAGAGAGAGAGAGCGAGCGCGCATGTTTCCACCTGCTCCCCAAAAGGCAGCAGCTGCCAGGGCTGGACCAGGCAATCCTGAGCTCCACGTAGGTCACTCCTAAGCAGAGCAAAAACTCGAGGGTTTGGGCCATCCACAGCTTCCCTGGCACCTTAGCAGGGAGCTGGATCAGAAGTAGAGCAGCCAGGACTTGAACCAGTGCTCCAGTATAGAATGGGGGTGCCCCAGCTGATGGCCACTCAACCCACTGTACCACAACCCCTACCCTAATGGCTGTTACTCTGGTGAATGGGGAGAAGCAGGGACTTCTTCTAACACATGGTTAAGCAAACACGCAGCTCTAAGCAATCTGCAATTCAGCTTTAAAGAGACCAGGCACTGGGCAACCACTTCAGCCAGGTCAGGGCCCTGCATCTCCTTCATAGGTCACATCTTCAGGCCCGGATGCTGACAGCCTAGGAAGATGACGTGCTCGTCACCAGGAGTCACGTCACTCCAGTGGGACACCCCACTGGAACAGCATGGTCAGCCAGCAGGTGCACGCCCAAGGGGGAGCAGGATGGCTGGAGAGCTCTCCCAGCCCCTCTTGCAGGTCCCTGTGGTTGCTGTGGAGCTGCGCGCTAGGCTTGCTCCATGCGGTGCCAACTCTTCCCCCCGCCCGCCATGGCCTCAAGGTGTCCCTGGACACATGCAGCGGGGGTCTGACTATTCTGTTAGCACCCACAGGACTTCACTCCGCCTGTCCCTCTATGAAGATCACGCCGTCCAGGAGTCGTTGCTCAGGAGGTGTGAATGGAGCCCAGCAACGCCGGGATGATGTCCACAGCCTGGCCGCACACCTGTTACCGGCTGGGCAACGCCTCAGCCTCCTGGTCTGCAACCGGGTTTAAAAATAGTTACCTACCTCACGAGACTATTTTGCAGATGACGTGAAACTACTGAAGCAATTATTGAGTGCAGTGCTCGGTACACTCAATTGTTCAAAAAGGAAGTGGGAGCAAGCAGTTAGCGCTCCCACAACCAAGTCCTGACGGCCAGAAGGTGACTGTCATGAATTCCGATGGCCAGGGAGAAGCAGCGGCGGCCGCGGGGGGCTCGCGCCGGACCCCACGGCCCCCACGGACCTCTCCTCGGCCTGACGCGGGCCACGGGGTCCGCCACCCCGGTCCGGGGAGCCCGAGGCTCCGCGCAGGGGCCACCTCAGGAGGAGGCCTCCTAGGCCGGTGGCGGGGCCCGAACCCGGCTCCCCCAAGCCCCCGAGGGGCACCACCAGGGGAGGGGGCACAGACCATCCACACCCCTCAAACTTCGGGGCGGGGCTGGGGGACCGGAGGCGGGGCGTGAGGGCGCGAGGAGTCATGGGAAATAAGGGGGCTTGGACTCGCACCACGCTCGAATCCGGAAAGAGGTCCTCACCTGAAGAGTCCAGGCTAAACGTTCCGCCTCCTCCAGGACGGGCCCCTGGACTCGTCTTCCCGTAGGGGCCGGGGGAGGGGCTGGCAACCCTCGACTCGGTCCAGGGTCCCGTCTCTTCCGGCTTCTCCCGGAAGCTGTTAAACCACAAGGAAGTCCCGCCTCCACGCCGAGCACTGATGACGTAAACCTTACGTCAGGCGAGCTGATGTCAACGTATTCTTTAAATAAAAAGGACAGAGTTCTCAGCCCCGGAAAGAGGGGCGGAGTCATTGTTGGCGGGCTCCGGGGGCGAGGCCACGCCCGTGGGGCGGGCCTGGTGGGCGTGGCTTGTAGGCGTGGTCTCACGGCGGGGGAGTTGCCAAGGTCGGCTGCCTGGCCGAGCCCGAGCACCGGACCTTCGCTTGCAGCCTGCGTCCCCTTCGCCTCCCGGGCCGACCGGCCGCTTCCCTCGTCGGCCTCGCGAACTGAGCTCCGCGCTGGCCGAGGCACTGAGGACCGGACTTTCTCAGCTCCGGGCGAGTCGGACTGATGATGGAGGACTTAGGTAGCGCGGGGTCTGGATGAACGCGGCTGGATTCCGCGCAGCTTTAGAACCCCCAGAAAGGAACCAAAGAAAAAGGGAGGAAGTTTGAACAACGGACAGGTGTTGGCTTTGGTGGTTCGTGAACTATTGGTTATAGTATAAATAACGCAGACACACTCCTAAAGTGAAGAGTTCGGTGGTCTGTACAGTCTGGTAGAATAAATGCTGAGAGCAAGAAAGAAAATGACCCTGGCACAGCTCCCCTCATGTCCTGGCCTCTGATGTCCCTCATAGCTTAGTTTTTCCTGCTTTTGAATTTTATGTAACACAAGTTGGCCAGGGGCTTGTTGCACCTCAGTAAAACAAGCCACCACGTGTGATACCTGATGCCCACATCCACTCTATTGAAGGGACAAAGTCAGTCCCTGCTATGCCACTTACAGTCCAGCTCGCTGCTAATGCCCCTGCACCTCTGTGGGAAAGCTGGAAGAAGCTTCTGGCTGCTGGCCATTGCAGCCACATGGGGAACAGAACGAGCAGATGGAAGATCTCTGTCTCCCTCTTTCTGTAACTCTGCTTTTCCAATAAATAAAATCCTTTTTCTTTAATATACAAAAGGTTTATTTATTACTTATTTATTTAAAAGACTTATTATTATTATTATTTTAATTGGAAAGGCGGATATACAGAGAGGAGAGACAGAGAGGAAGATCTTCCATCCGATGATTCAGTCCCCAAGTAAGTGCAACAGCCAATGCTATGCCAATCCGAAGCCAGGAGCCTCTTCCGGGTCTCCCACGCGGGTGCAGGATCCCAAAGCTTTGGGCTGTCCTCGACTGCCTTCCCGGGCCACAGGCAGGGAGCTGGAAGGGAAGCGGGGCTGCCGGGATAGAACCAGCGCCCATATGGGATCCCGGGAGTGCAAGGCGAGGACCTTAACCACTTGCGCCACCGCGCTGGGCCCTAAAGACTTATTTTTTAAGATTGATTTTTTTACTGGACAGTCAGATACACAGAGAGGAGGAGAGAAGAGAGGAAGATCTTCCATCTGATGATTCACACTCCCCAAGCTGCTGCAACAGAAAGAGCTGAGCTAATCCAAAGCCAGGAGCCCAGAGCCTCTTCCAGGTCTCCCACGGAGGTGCAGGGTCCCAAGGCTTTGGGTGGTCCTCAACTGCTTTCCCAGGCCACAAGCAGGGAGTTGGATGGGAAGCAGGGCTACAGGGATTAGAACTGGTGCTCATATGGGATCCCGGCACGTGTGTGAGGACTTGAGCCGCTAGGCTCTCACACCAGGTCCAACTCACTTATTTTTTATTGGAAAGTCAGATTTAATAAGAGAGGGAGAGACAGATCTTGCATCCATTGTTTCACTACCCAAATGACTGCAATGGTCAGAGCTGAGCTGATTCGAAGCCAGGTCACACAGGTGCAGGATCCCAAGACTTTGGGCCATCTTTGGTTTCCCAGGCCACAAGCAGAGAGCTGGAAGGAAAATGGAGCAGCCAGAACACAAATCAGCACCCATATAGGGTGTCAGCAATGGCAGGTAGAGGATTAGCCACATGAGCCATTGCGTTGTCCCCTATTTTTTTGTTTTTGTTTTTGAAAGGCAGAGTTACCGAGATACTTCATTTGTTGGATCACTACTTAATGGTCATAATGACCAGAGCTGAGCTGCTCTGAATCCTGGAGCCAGGAGTTTCTTTTGGGTCCTGAACACTTGGGCCATAGTATGGAGCTGGATGGAAGCAGAGAAGCTAGGACTTGAATCAAAGCTCTGATATGGGATTCTGATGTTGCATGTAGCAGTTTAGCTTGCTAGGCTACAACACTGACCCTGAACTTTGGTGCTGTTATACCTCTCAGGACAATTTGATGGTTTTGTAGTGATAAGGGTATCTGAATCCAAATGTACCTCCACTAACAGGCTTACAGGAAATCCATTTACACAAGGTGCCCCTTTCCTAACCACTAGGAAATTTTGGCAATTTAATAGGCAAAGATGTGTGTTCATTTGTATTCGTGATTCCTAGTGTATTTACATATTTCTCATGCTAATTTTTAAATTGATAGAGATTGTGCACATTCTTAAATTTTTTTCTAAAAACAATTGTACAAGAATTCATGGGAAGGCTCAGCACGAAGGCTCAATGGTATATCCTTTCCTGGCAAGCACCAGGATCCCATATGGGTGCCAGTTCATGTTCCACCTGCTCCACTTCCCATCCAGCTCCTTCCTTGTGATCTGGGAAAGCAGTTGAGGACAGCCCAAAGCCTTGGTACTCTGAACCCACTTGGGAGACCCAGAAGAGGCTCCTAGCTTCTGGTTTCAAATTGGCTCAGCTCTGACTGTTGTGGCCACTTGGCAAGTGAATCAGTGGGTAAAAAATCTTTCTGTCTCCCTCTCTCTGTTAAATCTTTCAAGTAAAAATTAAATAAATCTTTTTTTTGATACTCTTAGATTACCTGTGCAGAGGCTTTTGCTCACTAATAGGCTTGGAGAGACTGGGTTTTCCTATCTTCACAGGTACTGTGTATTTTCAATCTAGGACAGGAATATCTATTTCAGTTGGAAAGGCAGATATACAAAGAGGAAGAGAGACAGAGAGGAAGGTCTTCTGTCTGATGGTTCACTCCCCAAGCTGTCGCAATGGACGGAGCTGAGCCAATCTGAAGCCAGGAGCCAGGAGCTCTTCCAGGTCTCCCATGTGGGTGCAGGGTCCCAAGGCATTGGGCTGTCCTTGAGTACTTTCCCAGGCCACAAGCAGGGAGCTGGATGGGAAGCGGGCCTGGAGGGATTAGAACCGGCACCCATATGGGTCCCGGTGTGTTCAAGGCGAGAATTTCAACCACTACGCTATCCTGCCGGGCCCAACAGGAATAATATCTTAATGTTGTCTTATTTTTTAATGTTTATTTTATTAAGATTTATTTTAGTTTTATTGGAAAGGCAGATTTACAGAGAGGAGAAAATACAGAGAAAAAGATCTACCTGCTGGTTCACTCCTCAAGTGCCTGCAACAGCCAGAGCTGAGCTGATTCAAAGTCAGGAACCAGGAGTTTCTTCTGGGTCTCCCATGTGGGTGCAGGGTCCCAAGGCTTTGGGCGATCCTCAACTGCTTTCCCATGCCCCAAGCAGGGAGCTAGAAGGAAAGTGGAGCAGCCAGGACACAAACCTTCACCCGATGGGATCCCAGCACATTTAAGATCAGGATTTAGCCACTGAGCCATTGTGCTGGGCCCTTAATGTTTGTTTTCATTTACCTGAAAAGACAAAGTAAGAGAGAGGGAATCTTCCATCCACGAGCTCATTCCCAAATGTCCACAGAACCAGAGCTGTGCTGGTCTTAAGCCAGGAACCAAGAAGTTCATCTGTATCTCCCACACATGGGGCATTAGCCCAAGTGCATTAGCAGGACACTGGATAGGAAACGCAGGTTCCAGAACTCAAACCAGTGCTTTAGTATGGGAGGCAGGTATCCCAAGTGGCATTTTACCTGCTGCCTCACAGTGCCCGCCCCTGTTGTTTTGATTTGCATTCCCTGGGTACCAGTGAAATGGTACATCATCATTCAGTGATGTGACAGGTGTGGGAGGCACTGGGGGCTCTAAGTAGCAGGTGGTTGGACAAATGCTGTTCCCAGCCTCACAGCTCAGGGGAACAGCACCTTTTAGCAGCAGGTAATTGCTCCAATATTTTTGCCTTTTGCTTATGGTGATGATTTGGTGTCTGTGTCACTGAATTTAATTTTTTTTTTTGTAACATGATCTATTTCTCTCTCTTTTTTTTTTTCTATGCTGGGAAATCTTTTCCCATTCCCAAACACAGGTAAGCACAATAATCTTCTGTTGGTCTGAACAGGTATCCTGTTGCTGTGCTAAAAGTGAAAAACATGCCGAGCTGTTGTGAGGTGTGTGGGGGCGGGGCGGGGCGGGGCGTTTAGCTTGGTCCCTGGAGTGAAGGGTACACCACTGCCCAGCACTAGGAAGCACTTCCTTTTTTCTTTTCTAAGATTTATTTATTTTTATTTGAAAGGCACATCTGCAGAGAGGAGAGACAGAGAAAGGTCTATCTCTTAGTTTACTCCCCAAGCAGCCATAATGGCTGAAACTGAGCCAATCTGAAGCCAGGAGCTTCTTCTAGGTTTCCCATGTGGGTGCAGGGTTCCAAAGCTTTGGGCCATCCTCCACTGCTTTCCCAGGCACAAGCAGGAAGCTGGATGGGAAGTGGAGCAACTGAGACACAAACCAGTGCCCATATGGAATGTTGGCACCACATGGTAGAGGATTAGCCTATTGAACTATAGCCATGGCCACTGGAACAGTTCCTTGTCTTCTTTCAGGCCTCCTGGCTCTGCAAAAAATGAAGCCAGAAATTTATCCAGAAAATGGACGGTTGCTACCAGGCAACCAAGGTCAAAGGTCACAGTTGCCTCTGTGAGGGTGAAAGGGAATCTACAGAAGATGAGGACTCCTGCTGCTGGCTGCCCCAGGACTCTGACTGGTAGTGAGCCCAAGAGCCCAGGCTCCCTTAAGAAAGGGCTGGGCGAGCAGGCACTATGAGCCTCTGCTCGGGTTCCTCCTGTTGTGGGCACCACAAGTTCTGGGTCTGGGAGGGTCTTGCATTGTTCTTCATGCCTATTTCCTATCACAAGTAATATTGGTATAGTATGCTAAACTTCCTGTGGTGCTGGCATCCCATACAGGTGCTGGTTCAAGTCCCAGATGCTCCACTTCCATCAAGCTCCCTGCTAGGCCTGGGAAAACAGTCAAGGATGGACCAGAGCCTGGAGATCTTGTACCCAAGTGAGAGACCTGGAGTAGGAGGCTCCTGGCTCCTAGCTTTGGATAGATGCAGCTATGGCCACTGGAGAGTGAACCAGTGGATGAAAGATCCCTGTTTCCCCTTTGTATAACTCTGCCCTTCAAATTAAAATAAATAAATAAATCTTTAAAAAAAACCTTAGAAATCATAGGAGAGCACAAAAGAGGGAAATAAACCTGGAATGCTGGGACCCGCGGTCACCCTGGAATCTGACAACATCCATGCTTTAATTCTGTGCAAGCCATTTATTTGCTGGGCAATGGTCAAAGATGGCTAGCTAGCCTTGTAAAACTTCCTCCTAAAGATGGGGTGTGATCCTTTCAGCTCTGAGACCACAGAAAGTGAGGGACAGAGAGGGAGGACAACTGGTGGCTGGCCCCTCAATATGGGTTCTCAGAGACCACAAATGTGGTGACCACTGTTTTATGGTGCCATGCATCACTCGGGCATGGGGTAGCCCCAGGTATCATGACCACCTACTTCTCAGCCTGCTCAAGGACTGCAAGCAGACATTAACACTCAGTGAGCCTGGCACCGAGGAGGGATGCTTGCTGGGCAGGCAGAGTGAGGCCCTGCACAGAGCGTGATGGAACTCAGTCTTGTGGGTTCATTCGGCCCCAAGTAGGTCAAAAGAGATGGAAGCTTCCAGAAGCGATGGGACCAATCCATGCAAATGCTGGATGCCAAGAAGGGCAGAGCAGCTCCAACAGGTTAGGTAAGCAGGATAAGAAGGCTTGAAAGTGCCCTAGTGGCCAGAGGTCCGGGTCTACATGGGCCTCCTTTTGTAGTGTGTTGATGGTGGGCTGAAGGAAATGAATGCCTAGAGCTGCGATTCCCACAGATGTCTCCAGCATCCGTTCCAAGGTCTCCCTTGACAGGAGAGAGGCAGGTTGGGCAGAGCAGGGTGAGGCAGGACCTGTGCCTTTTAGCAGGCGGGCCAGATGCATGCATAGCAGCATCACAGGCTTGAGGCATCCATCCGAGGCGGGGGCGGGGGGGGTGGGCAAAGTGGGGTGGTGAACAATGGCTGAGTCTGTAGACCCACACGCTGGAGCAAGGGATGGGCTGAACTGTGAGGACAGGCAAGCGCACAGGGCAGAGCCCAGGTCTGCTAAGATGGGAGGTGGGCCAGGTGGGGAGGGCCGGCCCGGCTGTGGAAAAGCCTGGTCCCGGCTCACTGGATGCGTCCCTCCACACGCAGCAGCAGGTAGTCCCGGAGGAGTGGAGGCAGCGGCAGCAGGGAGGCACCCTGCCGGCAGCGGCTCCCAAGCTGAGTACGCACAGCTAGGCGTGCCAGGTGCTGCAGCCGCCTGGGCTGGTTCACCATGCTCAGGGCTGAGCTGTAGAAGGCTTCGTGCTCCTGCGCAAAAGTGAAGGAAGGTCAGGGGCCCCACCCCCTTGATGCTGCCCTGGCCCAGGGCGATCCTGAGTGTGGCGCACCTGGAAGAACTCACACTGCAGGGCAAGGGGCTCAGCCACATCTGCACCCAGTGTCACCCCATTGGTGCTGGTACAGCGCCCCCTGTCACCCAAGCCAGGGCTACCCTGTACATGTGTGCACTGCCACAGGTACTGGAGGCAACAAGCATGTGGCCTGCCATGGGGGTGGGGGTCTGGACCCTAAGTGTCTCACTCTGTGCATCCTCTTCCTCTGGGGCCGTCCTGCTCCACCCTTCATGCAGTGGGTCCTGAAGATACAGCCCTGCCCACCTCCCCCTCGGCAAGGGCTCTGCCCCAGGAGTGGACATCATACCTGCCACAGCTCTGGGAGCACAGCCTCCATCCAGGAGTCACAGGACGGGACACAAGGATAAGCATTAAGAAGGACTTCCAGGGCCCGAGGGAAGTTGGCACAGTGTTTCAGCATCTGGGAATGAAGTAGGGTCACAGGGGCACCATGCCTGTCCCGGGCAAGGCAGGTCCAAGTGCAGGCTACCCCAAATCCCAGGCACATCCACATTTGGCGGTTAAGGTTTCTGTTTCCTTTCTTTTTCTGTGCCTCAGTTGACCCCCACTCAACCTCTCGGCTGCATTTGGCTTCTCTCTTCTGTTGGACACCCTCCACCATAACTTCCCATCCCAAGCCTGGGACAGCCCTCCAGGCTCTTAAGGTGGAAGTTTCTGTCTCTAGGACTCCTGTCTCCCCAGAGGCAGTCCTAGGCTTCCCCATCCAGCCAGAGCTTCCCTGCCCAGGCCCTCCCCCATGTACCTGCGGGTGCACAGCCTGGGCCCCATAGTCCAGTAGTGCCGCAAAGAGGATCTCGGGTTCCCAGTTGGGCGCATCCTGGACCGCCTGCAGCGCGCAGTCCATGGGCGTGTGGCCTGCCCCGTTGGGGGCTCCAGCACAGGCCCCGTGGCGCAGTAGCAGCTCGGCCAGGACCCCGCAGCCATTGGCACACGCGTTGTGCAGCGGGGTATGGCGCTTGCGCCCGGCTGCCCGGGGATCCGCGCCGGCCTCCAGGAGGCGACGGGCGGCAGCCTCGTGCTGCCTGCTGCTGCCCGGGCCCTCGGCGCTGGCACACGCAGCATTCAGTGCAGTCTCGCCCTGGCTGGTGCGCAGGCCCACGTTGGCGCCGTGTTCCAGGTAAAGAGCCACGTGCTGCTCTAGGCCTCGTGCTGCTGCCACGTGCAGGGGAGTCACCTCGCTCTCCTGCGCTGCCAGGTTCACCGTGGCTCCTGCTTCCAGCAACAATTTGGCGCACCTGGGGGGGGGGGGGGGAACAAGACGCAGAGCCCCAGGGCAGAACTTGAGGGCCTAGAACTTGTCCTTGGGAATCCCTTAGCCTACCGAAGCCTCCCAGCCCTGAGCCTGGAGTCCAGGTCAGAGCTCAGAAGCCCCAGGAGAGCAGAGCAAGAAGACCCCTGAAAGCCACATGCAGCATCTTCGCTTTTCAAATGAAAATCTTGCATCCAATGAAGTCTTGTGCAGCCAAGGACATCTATGGGACTGCCAGAAGTGACACTCACTGCCTCACACATCCCCTGACTTCCTGCTGACTGAGGACCATGTGGCCTGACTCTGAGTCCCTGGTAAATGGGCCCTGCACATTTTTTAAAGATTTATTTTTATTGGAAAGTCAGATATACAGAGAGGAGGAGAGACACATTTTTCTAAAAGATTTATTTATATTTATTGGAAAGGCAGATATGACAAGAATATCTTCCATCCGATGATTCACTCCCCAAGTGAGCGCAACGACTGATGCTAAGCCGATCTGAAGCCAGGATCCAGGAACTTCTTCCATGCAGGTGCAGGGTCCCAAGGTTTTGGGTCGTTCTCGACTGCTTTCCCAGGCCACAAGCAGGGAGCTGGATGGGAAGTGGAGCTGCTGGGATTAGAACCGGCGCCCATATGGGATCCCGGGGCGTTCAAGGTGAGGACTTTAGCTGCTAGGCTACGCTGCCAGGCCCTAGGATCCAGGAACTTCTTCCGGGTATCCCACACGGATGCAGGGTCCCAAAGCTTTGGGCCGTCCTCGACTGCTTTCCCAGGCCCCAAGCAGGGAGCTGGATGGGAAGTGGGGCTGCCAGGATTAGAACCGGTGTCAATATGGGATCCCGAGGCTTATAAGGCAAGGACTTTAACCACTATGCCATTGCACCAGGCCCGAGAGACACATTTTCATAGCACATTTTTTTTAATCTACTCTAGAGCCCAGAGTGATAGCCTAGTATCTAAGTCCTTGCATTGCATGCACCAGCATCCAGTATAGGCACCAGTTTGTGTCCTGGCTACTCCACTTCCTTCCCAGCTTCATGCTTGTGACCTGGGAAAGCAGTCAGGGATGGCCCAAGGCCTTGGGCTCCTGGTTTTGGAGTGGCTTAGCTTCGACCATTGTGGCCACTTGGGCCGTGAACCCACAGACAGAAGATCTTTCTCTGTCTCTACTTTTCTCTGTATATATGACTTTCCAATAAAAATAAATAAATAAATCTTAAAAAAAAATAAAGAAAACCTACTCCAGTATACACTCATGCAGCATAGAAAATAAGAGAGTAACATTTAACAACAAAACCAGGTGCACATGGAGGATATGGCAGTTCATCGGAACCTGCAGAGGACATCTGATACCACAACAAAGGACGGAGGACAGACCAAACTGATCATCTACCCCAGCCATATGTTAGCAGTGAAAATCTGGTCAAATGGAGACTCTAAAGTGGACTATGCCAGCCAGCAGATTCTAGAGAGATTTCGTGCTTGGCATGGTGAGATTGGCAGTGATTCAGAGCTGTTGAACTATCAAAACCACTTGAGCAGTGCCCTCAGCAGTGCCCCACATCGGAGACCCTGGGATGGTTGGGAGGCTGGGCGGGGCTTCTCCCTTTACTCACCCATAACCCCAGATAAAGAAAAGAAAATGTGGAAACAATGGTCTTATCCACTTTCCTGTAGCCCTTGACCCTCTGTGCCCTAATTAACTATGTACAGATTATAAAAATAAAATAAAATTTAAAAAGAAAGAAGAAAATGAGAGAATGACTACATATCAGCCCAACAGAAAAACAGTGACAAACTAACATTTCCCTCTTCTCCTCCCGGACTTAAAAAGACATTCTTCTTAGACCAAGTGACACTCATTCAAAGTTAAGGCACTAGGAGACCTCCCTGCTCCACTCTCCCCTGGAGCGAGCAAACAGCAAACATCCGGGAAAGTACGTGTTTTACAGTCTCCTGGTACCTAAAAAAAATATTATAGAGCGGAGCGCTGTTCCAGCCAGTACGCATCATTACCTACTGCAGGCTAAGCCAGACACAGCCAAGTAAATTAATAATGATGACCACACTAAGAGTAATTTATAATTAACAATCCACTGGAAACAGTGGGAGCCACTGGGAACCAGGGAGTGGTGAAGGCCGGCACCTGCCCCGAGTGGCTGGAGTTGGGGTTCATCAGTCTGGGAGGCACCTTGCTCAGTGGGCAAGCACTGTGAAGCAGCCAGTCTTCTACAAACTGCTGTATTCGTTTGTTAGTTACTTCTAATCATGGACTGCTTTCATGCTTCAGTAATACCCAACAGCCTGCTCCACAGGGTTATGGGTCATGGTATTATCACCTGACCAGAAGGGATGAGGTTGTTGAGAAGTGCACTCCATGCTCACCAGAATCCAAGCGTGGGCTGGCACGTGTGGGTCTGTTCCTGATCCTGCCCTTGGCTCAGCAGGAATCCCGTATGAATGCCAGTTCTAATCCTGGCAGTTCAGTTTCTCATCCAGCCGCCTGCTTGTGGCCTAGGAAAGCAGTCATGGATGGCCCAAAGCCTCGGGACCCTGCATCCACGTAGGGAACCCAGAAGAAGCTCCTGGCTTTGGATGAGCTCAGCTCCAGCCATTGTGGGCATTTGTGGAGTGAACCAATGGATGGAAGATCTTTTTCTCTGTCTCTCTTTTTCTCCATAAATCTCTTTCAAATAAAAATAAATAAATCTTTTTTTTAAAAGATGGAATGCGATTAAGGAGATACATCTAGTTATAAAAGGAAATTATTACAAAAAAGAAAGAGAAAGTGGGAGGAAGGGCTGGGAGGGGCTCTTCACTCTGTTGGAATTCTTGATGCCTTCCACAAAACAGGTTACCTGCTGAGCTATGGAGGGTTCACTGGGACTCATGGGCAGTTGTGAAAACAGGGCTATCTGAGATGACCTTGGAAAAGTCACTAGGTCATTCTGAGCCCCGTTTTTCACATCTGCAGAAAGAGACCTTTGTGAGCTGCCCACACACACATACATATACCGCACTCATACACACACCTACACACATGTGCAGATACACACATTTGCATGCAATGCACATGCGTATATATGCATGCACGCATATGAATACACACACAGAGATATGCTCCCCAAACCACCCCAACCCCCAGGCACCTACTGCAAGGACTCAGGAACTGTGCACAGGTGCAAGGGGCTTGTGCCCTCCTCAGACAGGATGTTGGCCTTGGCCCCAAAGTTCAGCAGGAGTCTCACGCAGTCCAGCTGTGCTTGGGCACAGGCCTCGTGCAAGGCCGCCCGGCCCCCAATACGGGCATCCAGTTCTGCTCCCTGCAGGATCAGGTGGCGGGCACAGTCGGTGTAGCCTCGGGCTGCAGCAATGGTGAGAGGGGCTGTCTGCTTGGTCTTGGGGGTTAGCACCCAGAATCCTGAGGAGAGCAAGTGGTATTAGTGGTGGGGGGGAGACTGGCAGACAGGGTGGGACATGAGGATGCTGGCCTGTAACTAACACTGGCCTCTCCAGTATGTCCGGCTGTGATCGTGACAAGGGGCTACCTTAAGCCTGACAAAACAGAATTCTGTGACATAGGATGAAGTAACAGTGCTTTCAAACCACAAGGGCCACCTGCAGATGGTACAGCCTGCTCAGGGTCTTTAAGCTGCTAAGGGGCTCATGGCCATTTTTGCTCAGCCCAGGCTCTGGGTGGAGGGTGCTTATGCCCACGTGAGCCTGGAGCTGAGTCCGGGCTACTCCTAGGCACTGAGAGCTAGATGGAGGTACAGGACAGGGGAAGGAACACAATTAGCCTGGTGTGGAGAACAGTGGAGGAGATGGTTGAATTCTGTGATTAGTGACAGATTCTAGTGGTGGAATAGCTCAAGAACTTGATTACAGGACAGAGATCTGGGTCTGGCATGATAGACCAATGGCTAAATTTTTACCTTGCAAGGTCCCGGATTCCATGTGTGCGCTGGTGCGTGACCTGGCTGCTTGTGGCCCAGGAAAGCAGTCATGGATGGCCCAAAGCCTCGGGACTCTGCATCCACATAGGGAACCCAGAAGAAGCTCCTGGCTCCTGGCTTTGGATCATCTCAGCTCTGGCTGTTGCAGCCATTTGTGGAGTGAACCAATGGATGGAAGATCTTTCTCTCTGTCTTCTGTAAAACTCATCTGGCTTTCCAATAAAAATAAATGATTTTTAAAAGATTTATTTGTTTATATTGGGAAGTCAGATGTACTGACAGAGACAGAAAGATCTTAAATCCGCTGGTTCACTCCCCAAACGGCCGCAACAGCCGGAGCTAAGCCAATCTGAAGCCAGGAGACGCTTTCTGGTTTCCCACATGGGTGCAGGGTTCCAAGGATTTGGGCCATCCTCGACTGCTTTCCCAAGCCACAACCAGGGAGCTGGAACGGAAGTGGAACAGCTGGGATATGAACTGGTGTTCATAAGGGATCCTGGAACACATAAGGTGAGGACTTTAGCCACTAGGCTACCGTGCTGGGCCCAGAAATATAATCTTTATTTAAAAAAAAAAAAAAAAAAAGGACAAGCAGATGAACAGTCCTGCCAGGATTTTACCAGGAACTCTTTCCGGAAGGTAAAGAGTTTCATCAGCTTCTAGGAGCTTCCACACTGATGTCAAAGAGCTAACGGTACTATTCTTACAGGGTACTATTCGTACTATTCTTACTGAATCTAGCCGTGTCTTCTGAATGCTTGTGTATTGATTTCTGTTCTGTTTTCTGCTTGGTCCTTCCTGCACGTTGCTGAAGGACGCCTGCTCAGCTCTGGGCAGGGCTACTTCTCCAGAACCCTTGTGATCTATTCCCCATATCTGTTCTTGTTAAGACCAATAAATGTTAGCAATTTTTTTTTTTTTAAAAAGGTATGACTTAAAAAAAAAAACCTTCAGATTGCTCACATGGTAGCAAATAAATCCCTGATTTTTCTCAATCTTGAACGGAACATCTTGTTTTCTATGAGGGTTAATGTCGAGACTGAGTTCCATCTTGGAGATGATGGACGTGTGGCGAGATGAGAGCAGGATGCCTGAGGTGGAGGCCCGGCCGTTTTCTACTGAAGTGAGCAGGACTGGAGCCAGTAGTGATGGGGACTTGGTTGTGTCTGGGAGTGCTCTATCGGACTTTATTTCTTAGGTTTATGTATTTATTTGAAAGAATATAGTGTACTGGGCCCGGCACAGTAGCCTAGCAGCTAAAGTCCTCTTCTTGAACGTGCTGGGATCCCATATGGATGCTGGTTGTAATCCCGGTGGTCCTATTTCCCATCCAGCTCCCTGCTTGTGGCCTGGGAAAGCAGTCAAGGACGATCCAAAGCTTTGGGACCCTGCACCAGCATGGGAGACCTATAAGAAGTTCCAGAATCCTGGTTTCGGTTTGGTGCAGCTCTGGCCGTTGCAGCCACTTGGGGAGTGAATCATTGGATGGAAGATCTTTCTGTCTTTCCTCCTGTCTGTATATTTGACTTTACAATAAAAATAAATGAATGATTTTTTAAATTTTTAAAGCTTTCTTTGTTTTTAAGATTTTTTTATTATTTATTTTTATTGGAAAGGAAAATATACAGAGAGGAGGAGCGACAGAGCAAGATCTTCCGTCCGATGATTCACTCCCCAAGCTGTCGCAATGGATGGAGCTGAGCTAATCTGAAGCCAGGAGCCAGGAGCTTCTTCCAGGTCTCCCAAATGGATGCAGAGTCCCAAGGCTTTGGGCTGTCCTCTACTGCTTTCCCAGGCCACAAGCAGGGAGCTGGATGGGAAGCGGGGTCGCTGGGATTAGAACCAGCATCCATATGGGATCCTGGCACATTCATGGTGACGACTTTAGCCACTAGGCTACTGTACTGGGTACAAATAAATCTTGAAAAAATATATATATATATAAAAGTACAGCGTGCCAGAGGGAGAGAGAGAGAGGAAGAGGGGAGAGATCGTTCACCCACTGCTTCATTCCCCACTTGGCTACAATGGGCTGGCTAGACCAGGCCAGGCCAAAGCCAGGAGCCAAGGGTTCCATCGAGGTCTCTTACATGGGGGGCAGGAACCCAACGACTTGGACTAGCCTCTATTGCCTCCCAGGGGTACTAGCAGGAAGCTGGATTGGAAGCACGGAGTGGCCAGGACTCTATCTGGGCACTCCAACATGGGAAGTGGGAATTTGAAAGGTGCTGAAGCAGCTTTGTCACAACACCTGCCTTCCTGTCAGTCTGTAGGCTGTGGGGACCCCAGGGGAAGCATCTGGTGTCCAGGCATGAACCCTCTAGTCAGAGCTTGCCCTAAGGAAGTCATCGGTGCAGAATCACAAGTGCATGAAGATGTTCATCATACTGCTACTTAAAATAATCCTTTTAAAGATTCATTCATTTATTTATTTTAGAAAGGCACATCAACTTTACAGAGAGAAGAAAAGACAGAAAAAAGATCTTCCCTCCTCTGGTTCACTCCCCATGTGCCCACAATGGCCAGAGCTGAGCCGATCTGAAACCTGGAGCCAGGAGCTTCTTCTGGGTCTCCCATGCAGGCACAGGGTCCCCAGGCTTTGGGCCATCCTCCACTGCTTTCCAGGCCACACTCAAGGAAGGAGCACTGGGATACAAATTGGCACCCATATAGGATCGTGGCAGATGCAAGATTAAGATTTTAGCCTTCAATTCATCATGTTGGGCTCCTTAAAACAGTATTTTTTAAAATGATTTATTTTTATTATTTGTTTATTGGAAAGGCGGATATACAGAGAGGAGAGACAGAGAGGAAGATCTTCCGTCCAATGATTCACTCCCCAAGTGAGCGCAACGGCCGATGCTATGCCAATCCGAAGCCAGGAGCCTCTTCTGGGTCTCCCACACAGGTGCAGGGTCCCAAAACCTTAGGCCGTCCTCAACTGCCTTCCCGGGCCACAGACAGGCAGCTGGAAGGGAAGCGGGGCTGCCGGGATAGAACCGGCGGCCATATGGGATCCCGGGGCGTGCAAGGCGAGGACCTTAACCACTTGCGCCACCGCGCTGGGCCCAAAATAGTATTTTTTACAAAAGGAGAGCAGGTGCTATGCCACATAGAGTTGAACAACTGCTGCTACTGGAGCATCTCATTTGTAAGAGCAAGTTCCTGTCTTGGCTGCTCTGCTTCCAAGGCAGCTCCTTGCTAACACACCTGGCAAAGCAGTCAAAGATGGCCTGCCAGGCACAAGGGAGATCTGGGCTCCTGGCCTCAGCCTGGACCAGCTATTGCAGCCAAATGGGAAGTAAGCAGGTAGATGATTCTCTCTTGCTCTCTCCCTGCAGTTCTTGTAAATAACTCTTTACAATAAAATAATACAAGTAAACAGTTAAGACAAAATCCATTCCATCTGGGGATTAGTTATATAAGTCTTAGTGAGCATCACACAGAATTTACATGCCTATTTAAAATACATTTGTAGGACATATTGACATGGATAGGTGATACATGAAAAAAATCAGTTTATGAAACTGCATGGGGAATAGATTTTCATTCCTATGTGTGGAGATATTATATAGATAGAGAAAAAATGCACTAAGAAGTAACTATTACTATGCAATATATACACCACTTTTTTAGACAGATGTTTAAAGAATATAACTCAGTTATAAAGGCAGCTAAACCATTAACTGCCTCATCAAATTAGGAGGGTGCCAGCATGGGTCAGTACCCAGGGTAGCTCAGGTCTAGTCTTGGGTCTGCAGGGAAGGGCTGAGGACCACCTCCCTCCCCCTTCCCTCCCCTCCCTCTCTCCTAACTCCCTGCCCCTCCCCCCATCACTTTTGCCCTCTTTCTGCCCCCACTGCAGCTCTGTACCCTGTTCGGCGGACCAGGCCAGTTGGTTGCTCACAGTCTCCACGATCATATTGGCAGTTTCCTCATCATGGAACAGGGCTTGCACCTGCTGCAGGTCGCCAGAGAACAGGGCATTATGGACAGCCGGGTCTCGGCAGGAGCGACGAGGCCTAGTGAGTCGGGCCCGGGGACTCAAGGGGCACCTGCGGCTGCGGCACTGCTGGGCAGCAGCACGCCGCCGGTCCTCCCACTCCAGCCACTCTCGTTGCAGGCGGAGGGAGCGCAGAGTGGAGGAGGTGAAGGGGAAGGTCTCCCCCGCCATGGTGGTGAGAGTGGAGGGCAGGGGTCCGGGAGTAGCACTCAGGCAGGGCCAGCGGCCCTGTGCTGGTCACCCCTGCTCTGAGGAGCCACCCTGCCCCCCACCCCTCTGAGAGCCAGAGAAGGAGCAGCTGAGGCTATAAATAGGTACCTCGCAGCCCTGGTAAACACAGTTTGCCCAGAGTTATGATCCAGGTACAGGGAAAGGGCTGACCCAGCCCCTGGCCCTGCTGCTGTCCTGTGGTTGGTAAGCAGGCCCTCTGCTGGGCTTGAGTCCCTGCCCTCCTGCTACTCTGGAGGGAGCAGGATCCAGGGTGAGGGTCCTGATCACGGGGATGGGCAATTTAGGGAGGGAGACCAGGCCCCTCCAGCCACTGTGATGTTGGCCAAGGGTAGTTGCCCACGTTGGCCCGTGTGGAGGGAAGAGGCTTGAGCTCACCTGGGAAGCAAAGGCAGTCAAGGCAGGGTGCCAGGCAGCAGGCATCACCGTGGGCAGCAGCAGCAGCTGTAGGCATATGTATGCCCAGGGCCCTGCAGGGTCTAAGTTGCTTTCCTAGCCCCTTCTCCGGGTGACCGTATTTCCTTCCTACTCATCCAAGAAAGCAATAGGGTTAGGTCCACAATATGGCCAGATCAATTCTCACAGTTGAACACCCTGAGTGGGCTTCTCTTCTACAGCTGAGGAGAGGGGTCGGCACTGCAACTCAACAGGCTAATCTACCTGCAGCACTGGTTTGTGTCCCAGCAGTTCTGCTTCTCATCCAACTGCCTGTTAATGATCTGGGAAAGCAGTGGAGGATGGCTAAGTCCTTGGGCTCTTGCACCAATGTGGGAGGTTTGGAAGAGGCTCCGGGTTCCTGGCCTCAAATCAGCTCAGCTTTGGCTGATGCGGCCACCAGCTATTGGATCTTTGTCTTCTCTCTGTAACAATCTGCCTTTCAAATAAAAGTAAATAAATCTTTAAAAAATGAAATTGGACATTTGAGGCATGGTAGGTCTTAATAAGGAAGGGCTGCTGGTTCCCAGTCACAGTTTGTGAGGGACCCACCCAGTTTCCCCCAGAACCCACTGGGCTGAGCCTGTGCAGATAGGCTCCAGTATGGACACGGCAGGACAAGGATAGCTGGGCCAGGCTGCTCACTCTCCAGGCAGGGCAGCATGGTCTCTGAGAAACCGTCTTCAGAGTGTGTGTGTAACCCAGTTCCTCAGGGGGCTCACAGGCTTGTCTGTGCAGGGTGAAGAGGCTGACATAGAAACTCAAGGAATATCTGACTGAAGAGGTGCACAAGCCACAAATCCAATCACCTCTGGGAGGAAGCGGCTCTGCTTCCAGGAGCCTCTAGGGGGAGGAATGAGGCCACTAAACCACAGGGAGGGTGTGACTGCCAACCAGGAGGTGGGGAGGGGGACTGTGTGTGTGTGTGTGCTGCCAGCAGTTGCCGAAGCTCTCCTAATCTCAGTCTGCCCAGTGATCCTGCAGCTGTGGGTCTGGCCCGTCTAACATAGCAAGGTGGCAAGGCGTGCTCCTCTCCCTACCCTGGCAGCCTGAGACTTGGGGCTCATTTGGTTGGCTTCCTGGTCTTTGCACACAAACAAGTGCTGGCTTCTATTTCATGTCCTCAGATATCCTAAATTCATGCCTTTCAGTGTTTTCGCCTCAGCAGCTCAGCCTCCTGCCTCCGGCCACACACCACCCCCCTTCTTCTCTGCCCCTAGTGATCTGAATAGGTCATTTTCTTGCTTAAAAGCTGTTGCTGCCAGGGCCTGCCCCTGCTGGTGCACCTGGGAGCCACCCACCTGGGAGACTAGCATGGAGTTCCTGGCTCCTGGCTTCAGCCTGGCCCGGCCCCAGCCATTGTAGACATTTAGGAAGTGAGCCAGCAGATGGAACATCTTTCTGTGACTGTCTCCCTCTCTTGTGTAATTCTGCCATTCAAAATAAATACATTTTTTATTTATTCAAAATCCCAAACCAGCAAACTTCGGCTGATTTGCTTTCTCCAACTGCAGTCGCTTATCAGCCACGTCACACCACACTCCCATCGCAGCTCCTTACCCTTCCCAGTCGTTCCCTGCAGACCTGCCTTTAGTGTGGAATTCCTGCTGACTCACTCCTCCAAGTCCACCTCAAAGGTCACCTGCTCCCAGGAGATGTCTCCACAGCAACCCTAGGTTCCCCACTCCTGGAGTAGCTGCAGCCACTCCCCATGACTGAAGGGCTTCAGGCGCACACTGGAGAGCCCCGTTCTGTGCAGGTGATGCCTACCAGCCAGGCTGGGACAGTCAGAGGCATGGGCAGGTGGCTAAAGAGACTTGGCTCCTGCAGGCTGACCTCCTGTGTGTGGTACACAGCCTGCATGGGTGAGTGGCAGTACCCAGGACCTCTTCTGGTGCTGTGCTTACTCTGTTGCTCACCCACTCCCTACCTGGCCTTAGCTTGTTGGTGTCACGCCAGCTGGGGGACCCCAGAGGAGGGATGAGGTCATGCATGGCGACAGCTCGGAGATCCTCACAGAAAGATGCCTCTATAAACACAGCTGTGATTAACCCTGTTGGAAGCCGGGTGGTGTTTTCATTGCCCGCCAACGGCCCTGACTGAGCACCCACGGTTGAGTTCCCAGGGCTGCAAGTCCAGCAAGGGTGGGCAGGGGCCCCCCCTCCTTCCCCAAGACACACAATAACCGTGGCCCAGCTGCTCTCAGCTGTCCTTCTGTCATAGGTCTGAGGGTGCTGACCACAGCTGTCCCCTGTTCCCAAGGTCAGCTTCAGTTCAGCCTGCCATGGGCCTCCTGGGAGCCCACAAAGGTCATTGGAGGGAGAGGTGCCAGGTGACCAGATGCCCAGGCTGCTTTCTGGGAATCTGAAGCCTGTAGAGCTCACTGAGAAATTGGGACCTGGAGTATACGGGAGGGACTGCAGCTCAGGAATGCCTATAAGGGGGCACATTGGGCTGGGGCCCAAGGTAGCTAAGGTGCAGCCAGAGCACGGTGTAGGGATGGGCTCTGGCTGCTGAGGTGGGGGTTGGGAGGGCAGAGCATGTGGTGGGCTCTGGTATGATGTCTAAATGGAAGGGAAGGGGCAAGGGACTGGTGAATGAACCTGCCACTGCAGTCAGCGTTCTCAAAGCAACTGCTCCCTTCAGCCCAAGGCAGTGCAAGGGACCAGCTTCTCTATGGGAAAGATGAAAGCAACCCTCCAGCAGTGCCAGGCTTCTGCCCAGGTTAAGTCCCCTCCACTCCAATGCCTAGTGAAGGCTGAGCCCAAAGCATGGGCAGGTGGCAGCCAAACTGGCCTGTAACCCACCTCTTGCCACCCAGGAACTAAGCATTTTCCTTCCTGCTCTTCATTTCAGAAAGGAACATGAGGGCTCAGTGTGGTAGCCTAGCGGCTAAGTCTTTGCCTTGAATGCACCAGGACCCCATATGGTTGCCTGTTGTAATCCCAGCACCCATGCTTCCCATCCAGCTTCCTGCTTGTGGCCCGGGAAAGTAGCAGAGTACGGCCCAAAGCCTTGGGACCCTGCACCCATGTAGGAGACGCAGAAGAGCTCTTGGCTTTGGATCAGGTCAGCTCTGGCTGTTGTGGCCACTTGCGGAGTGAATCATCAGATGGATGATCCTCCTCTCTGTCTCTCCTCTTCTCTCTATATATGAAGAATTCCAGTGGATACTACCCATAATAGGATGAGCCTCTGCTCCTCAGGTGTGTACTCAAAGCATGACTGCCTTCTGAAAAGAACAGGACAGGAGAAGGAAATACAACCACTTGCAGGGGAGCTGCCTTTCCTCAGCCAAATGTCCAAGGCCATCATGGACCCTTGATCAGGTAGGGGTGACCAAAATGGCAGGTGCGCAACCTCTGGACATCTCCTAAAACCTTGATCTCAGCTTCCATGAGGAAAAGTCTGATGGAGGGGTATCTATGCTATGTCTGGTGGGATCAGCCAGAACTGTCAAGGTCGAACCCAGCAGCGTGGCCTAGTAGCTAAAGTCCTCGCCTTGCATGCCCGGGATCCCATATGGGCACCGGTTCTAATCCCGGCAGCCCCACTTCCCATCCAGCTCCCTGCTTGTGGCCTGGGAAAGCAGTTGAGGACGGCCCAAGGTCTTGGGACCCTGCGCCTGCGTGGGAGACCTGGAAGAAATTCCTGGATCCTTGCTTCAGATTGGCATAGCATCAGCCATTGTGCTCACGTGGCGAGTGAATCATCAGACGGAAGATTCTTTCTGTCTCTCCTCCTCTCTGAATATCTGACTTTCCAATAAAAATAAAATAAATCTAAAAAGAAACCTATCAAGGTCATCAAACTGGCTGGTGTACCGATACAACCAGTTACGTCATGCCTGCAACACCAGCATCCCACACTGCAGTACCAGTTCAAGTCCCGGTTGCTCTATTCCACTCCAGCTCCCTGCCTAACATGCCTGGGAAGGAAGCAGAGGATGGAGCAGATGTTTGGGCCTCTGTCATTCACATGGAAGATGTGGGTGAAGTTTCAAGGTGCTGGCTCCAGCGAATGTGGCCATGTGGGGAGCGGAGTAGCAGATGTGAAGGTCTGTCTGTCTATATCTCTCCCCTTCTCTCTACCTTCCAAATCAATCAATCTTGGGAAAAACAAAAAACAAAAAACACGCACACAGAAGGAAAGTGTGGAAAACTGCCAGAGCCAAGAGGAGCTCAGAAGAGCAAAGAAAAAGGCACGAAGGCTGAACATGATGTGAGATTCCAGATGGCAGTGATGTGTTTCTGAAACAGAGGGTAGGAGAGCAATACAGAGCAAATGCGAATGAAGTGTGGTGTTCAGTTAATAATCACGCTGTCAATACCACTTCAGTTATTACAGCAATGTGGTCTACCACTGGAAGATGTTCAGAGGGGAACTGGGGATGTGGAATTGATGGGAACTCTACAGTTTTGCAACCCTGTAAACCTGAAACTGTGTAAAAGAATGAGTATGTGAAGAAGACAGCAAGAAGAGAACCACTGGGCTGCGCTCTGGCTGACGTCGGCCTGAGATGCCCTGGCTAAGCCCTGGCCGCAGGAGATGGGG